GAGTTTTGCATTGTTTTGTTGCCGTACTCTTGCCACAATGGGCCGCCTGCGCCAAGGGTGCGGCCAAGAAGCGTGCGGCGAGCCCAGCCGTTCTGGGTCCGGCCCTGCCGAAGGAGGACATCAAAAGGTGCAAGTCCTTCGTGCAGAGCGAAGAAGAACGATCAGACCGACGCCGTTGCGGAAGCTTACGAAGCTTCGGACCGCAATGGCAAGAGGGAGATCTTGGAGAAGTGGTCAGAAGACCGCAGCCTGGGCTGGGTGGCGGGGTACTTGCAGGAGAAGGCCTTCGTCCACTCGCAGGGAAGCGAGACCCGCAGCTCTTGGCACACGGAAGCTGCGATCTGTGCCCGGGAGGGCTTGGGCCACCTGGAGCACCTGTCGGAAGACAACCGGAAGGTGTTGGACGAGCTGCTCAAGAACTACGAGGAGCGGCCGCACGAGTTACCGACTTTGGCCGCCCTTGGGCTCAAGCAGTACCGGACCAAGAAGACCGAAGAGGTTGAGGCTTCCTTCGAGCAAGACGCTGTGAGGCTCTCGCTCACTACAAGCGGGGTGGACAAGCCTGAGAAGGCCAGCGCGAGTGGCCGGAAGGGCAAGAACCCCGCTGCACCCCGGCGGCGGCGGCGGCGAGGTGGTGGTCAACTACAACGTCCTCAACGAGAAGACCACGAAAGAGGTGAAGAAGTTGTTGACCCTCGTCCGGAAGGCCGTCGCAACCGCGGGTAAGACCCCGGTGGAGAACAAGGAGTTCAAAGACCGCGTGCGACAGGGCCTGCGAGTCGTCCAAGACGCTGCTGACAGCGCGGAAGACGCGTTGGAGAGCGTGTCCCCGGACGAGGCTGGCTACCAAGCCTTGAAGCGGCTCCTGGAGACGCTCCAGGCAAACTACACCGCCTTCCTTAGCCTCTTGGAAAAGTGCTGCCCCAAGGCACTGCCGAAAGCCAAGGCAAAGGCAAAGGCGGAAGCCAAAGCCGCGGAGGACGCAGCCCAGGGAGGCTCGCCCGCTGACGGTGTTGCGCCTGCGGCTGACACTGACGCAACGGACAAGTAGCTCGAAGTAGCTTCTTAAGCCAGACCAGATTCTAGCAGTGGTGTTGCTCCATGCGTTTTGTGATCAGCCTGGCCCGCTTTGCACACTCGCCGTGCCCATGCGTTTTGAGATCAGCATGGAGCCTTATAGAGTCTTAGAGATCTAGCTAGCAAAACACTTTTGGTGTGCATCTTCGTTCACAACATCCTGGTGCATGTGTCACACTATACTTATAGTAATTTCCAAAAGTTTCAAAGCCAAGTTTCTTTCCAGCTGTTGTATAAGACAAAACTTTGAAGTAGTTTTTTAGATCAGGTTCTATGTGACATTGCACTGGGTGCGTAAAGAGTTGCGGAAGCACAAGAGAAAAAAGGTTCCAGAAGCGAGCCTCT